ATATATATATATATATATATATATATATATATATAAAATTATAAACTTTTAATAGGTATAAATATATAAATATAAATAAGTACATATTGATTTTTGTATCATTGATATACTATTATGGTTGTTAATATTTTGATTTGAGTTTTATATGTTCTGTTTTCACTATAATTTTAGTTAAGAGTTTTAGTAATTTTTTTAGCATGTTTTTATAATTTTTATGTCTTTTTTTAATGTATTTTTCTAATATGCTGAATTCATCATTTGATGTATTTTTTTTTAATTCATTTAGTATTTTAAATTAAACGAAACAAAAAAAAATATTTTTTTATGGTTTTAACTAAAACCATAAAAAATATTTTTTTTGTTTCGTTTAATTTAATTTAATTTTAGATTTTCCTGAATAATCCTCTGTTTATTCAAATAAACAGGAGGAAAACTTTTCAGAGTTGTATGTGCTAGGTATATTGTATGTGTTGTCCCTTTTTATTGTCCCATATTTTGTTTTATATTATATTTTATTTTCATATAATGATTCCTTTTGTTCTGCATTTCATCTTCATTCATTATAGTGTTGGAATATCGCCTCCCTTGTTGTGTACATTATTTTCTAAATAAATTATTTGACCTACAGACCTTATATGTAATCTATATAAATACACAGCTTTGTTGTATTTTTTTTTTAGTCATCATAATTTTTTAACAATTCAATAATCATGCAGATTTACGTTACAAGCTTATAGAATTGTACAGTAAGAAAGTTATTTCCCTTAACCAGGAAATTAACGTTCTTAGAATTGACAAGACAGTTGACCCTGAGTGGTCAGCTAAATATCTACAGCGATTCTAAAATATGAATAGTTAATTATAACTAGTTATGGTTAATTATTCATATTTCCCCATGAGCTGATTCGCTACATCTGAACAGATGACAAGATATTCAAAATTCTAAATCTTCAAAATAATCTGATTACTACTATATAAATGTTTCATTTGTGTAACAATTACCATGATACCATATCCAGAAAAACCATTAGATCATTATTGCAAGGTTGTTTTTGTTTTGTTTTTCGCTGCCTTGAAAAATAATCACTGTAAATCTGAGGAAGTTTCTGTTTAGTGTTCCTCGAGTGAATAAAGAGGACACATCATACATTACCACTGAGTGTTTCATTTTTATTGACCTGCTTCAATCTTTAACAAGCATCTTTATGTCATGTTTGATGCACATCATGGGATCAGATATTCACAGATGTAGTTTTTCTGACTGCGACAGACCTCATCATGCCATTTTCCCTGTGCTGCCAGCGAAAGCGACACAGCTCTCTCTCTTTCCTCCGGTGGGCTCTCTCTTGGAACGATCCCAGTGGAAGAAAGTGACAGGCAGGCTGTTCACATCCACATACTGGCCTTCCTTCACTATGTCTGTTATGCCGATCCAGAAATCATTGGATGTGGGTGAGCTGCGTTTGATGTAGTCTGTGAGCTCGTCGTTCTGGTTGATGTCTCGAGGTATGGCCAGGGTCCCTCCCTGTGCGATGCAGTCCTCGTTGGCCTCATGGTAGTGCTTGGTCTGCTCAGAAACTAGGTAACATTTCCTGTGGGCTTTGATGCCACGCAGGCAAACTGAAACATATACAAAAACATTTACATGTAAACTGGTTTATAGCAGTTTCGCACATTATATTTCCATCTTTATTTATGAAGCACTATTTATAAGCTAACAAGTACTTACATTGTTCATTCTTTAGTCAGTTATTACAGTATATTCACATCTGTCCAACATTTACATCTGGCGCCATTTAGTGTCTCACAACATATATGTTTGAAATATATGATTTGTTATTTTTTATATGTTATATATATATATATATATATATATATTATTTATTGTCAGTCTTTTTTTCTTGTGAAAAAGAAATACACCTTAGCATACATTTAAAATGGTATTTTTAATGGAAATAATATACTTTAAAGAATATACTTAAGTCTGAACTGAATGTAATTGTTACGAGTCCTGTCCATGGATTTCCGTCTGATCGCCACCAGAGATCGCTCTTCCATTACATTGACTCTCTCACTACACACTGTTACACGTCACCACGGACTACATTTCCCATCATCCATTGCACTGATTACACACAACTGTAACCAATCACGCACACACTATATTACACTCACTCAGATCCTTCTCAAACTGCCGAGTATTGTAAGCGAATATCGCTACCCTAGCTGATAGCTACTTTACGGAGCCTGCTCTAGTTTTCATAGCCTTGCCTTGCCTTGCCTTGCCTGCTTTCCCGTGTTGGATTCTTGCCTGAGTATTTTGGATTACCCTTTCGTCTTGTCTTTTGGATTATGTTTGCACTTTGCCTGGACTATTGCTCGTGTTCCTCTGATTACCCCTCTTGTCACGTCCCTCTGGATTACGTTCGCCATCGATCGACCCACGCGGATTACTCTTGTGTCTTGCCTGTGCCATATCTGTTTGCTGGTGTTCGACCCTGCCTGTTTCTGACCATGTCTTTCAATAAAGCTTTGCAAATGGATCAGCACGTCTCACGTCTCGTTCGCTCCGTAACAGAATACTCGGCCACACGAGGATCCAGCAGCTTTTCATGTGGACATTGGCCAGGTATGGACTTTGCAAGACTGTTGTTAGCCCTCAAGCAGGGCATGCGATCGCTCGAGGATTATATTCAAGAGTATCTGGAAATTGCTTACTATTCTGATTTACCAGACTGTGTTTTAATAGACTTTTCCTGTGAGGGCATTAATCAACCACTAAAGTCTAAACTCATTAACGAGGGTCCACGTTCATCACTAAGTCAGTTTATAGGCTATGCTTTGTTGTGTGTTGGCTCTTCATTCACTGTGGGTGTCATGGAGGAGGAACGTTACACCGTGTCTGTGACTGAAATGGCGGCCGCACCTGAGCGCACTCACATAATGGCGGCGACAGCGGAACCTGTTCGCAAAATGGCGGGGACAACAACGCCCCATCATGTCACAGCTGCCGTTCCTGAGTCAAGCACAGTCACAGCTGATTTTCCTGAGTCAAGTCAAGTCACAGCTGATCTTCATAAGTCGTCACGTCTCAGCTGATCTGCCAGAGCCTCGTCACGTCTCTGCTGATCTGCCAGAGCCTCGTCACGTCTCAGCTGACCTTCCAGAGCCTCGTCATGTCTCAGCTGATCTTCTAGAGTCTCGTCACGTCTCAGCTGTTCTTCTAGAGTCTCGTCACGTCTCGGCTGATCTTCTAGAGTCTCGTCACGTCTCAGCTGATCTTCTAGAGTCTCGTTACGTCTCAGCTGATCTTCTAGAGTCTCGCCACGTTTCAACTGTTCATCCAGAGTCTTGTCACGCCTCAGCAGTTCGTTCAGAGTCACGTCACGTCACAGCTGATCTTTCAGAATCTCGTCACATATCAGCTGATCCTCCAGAGTCATGTCACATCACAGCTGATCATCCAGAGCCACGTCACATCACAGCTGATCATCCAGAGTCACGTCACGTCCTGTCTGTTACACCCAGACTATCAAGGTCGGCCCTTCGGTATCCCAGTTTGGAATATCTTTTTGGGTTT